GCATTACTTTTAGTGAGTGAGTAGGCTTTCGAGATTGCCAGTAAATCAGATGAGTTAGGGTGAAAACAACTCATAAATATATGATCTACTGGTAGTCTCGAAAACCCACTCATTTAATACAAATGAGACCTATGGAGACCCGTTTTGTCCTATGTGATGTCTCTTGATAGTTAGCGCATCTGCTGGAAGTGGGCAGATCCTTTGTGTGTGTGTGTGTGTGTATGTGTGTATTATGCGGATGAAAAATGACTGATGCCACCCTCCGTCATGGCTCGAGATTGGACGATACAGAATTATGGGTTACGAGTCAGAATGGAAGCAAAGTGGCTCGAGCCCAGACTTTCTGGCTTTCAGGCTACAATTTTAAGACTCCACTTGGCGCCGACATATGCTTTTTGCCATTTGCCTGGACTGACAACATTGCTCTTATTCTGTTCTACCTCGTCCTGGCAGGAGCTCTGCAATGTCCTCGCTGCTGCTCTTGTTCGCCATCCTCGAAGGAATCTGCGGCCTTGTTCTGCCGATCAGCGACGCGTTCGGAGGATCGAATCTTGGACGGGATCACAAGCACTACTACGAGGTGAGCCGGCCCGTTTGGATACACCTTTTTCCCCTTTCCCCCCTTCGCCCCTTCTTCCCGGTTAGCATGATCCACGGGAGTGTGATACTATCGCACCGTTTACATTTCGCACTCGTCTCTAGAGCAGTGCAATTTGGGACCTCCACCGCGTAAGTCTACCGAAAGCCGGTTTCGAGTGCCTAACAGAGAGACGACCAAACGAGCCTAAAGAACTTGGTAGGAGCATTCAGGAATGCCGACAGGAGCGACATCAGAGACGCCATTAGGAACATTGTCTAAAATTTCGAAGGGGCACATTCGAAAGTGCCATTTACAAGCCCAGTTGAAGGTATAGTTCAAAGAGCCCTTAGAAGCACGTTGAAAACTAAGGGCAGCAATCTCTAAACTCTACTTAAATACGAACAAAAAAGGGCAGTAGCACTAAAGAAAGTAGCTCCTCGAACAAATTCCCAAAAGTGCTCCATCTGCAACAAATGTCTATGGCGGAATAAAGATATAGTTTAAAAGACGCAGCAGAGGGGCAATCTGAAGCATGAAATGAAAAGTCGTCAGGGAGACCATCCAGGACTCATTTCGAAATCGAAATTTGTGGTTAAATTGGAATATGCATCAGGGGCGTCTTCTGAAGCATCGCCTGAAAAGTCATCAGAAATGCCTTCCTCAACCGACTTCCACTGCGGCATTATGAGCTTTTTGGGAAAATCCTTCAGGGTCGTCATCTGGCCTACCCCCTTGCAACTCGTCAAGAACCTCCTTCTCAATCGACTTCCCCAGTTGCGTCAGGTGTCCCCATATTGTTGGCAATCTGTAGAAAACTCTTGTCTGCCCCTTTCATGAGCCATTTTTAGCATTGAAGTTGTTTGACCTTGTTTTCGCAACTTGGTCATATTGGTAGGAAGACTTATTGGAACGCACCTAGTCCGGGGTCTATTGTCTGCATGGTCATTTCCAAAGTTGAACCGTAGACGTGGTACATTCCCAGACGTTTCGCCGGCATCGTAGTCGGCATAAT